AGGAGTAGCAGCAGCAGTAGTAGTGGTCTGTCAGATAAGCTCCCAGACAGCCCAATGCAACTGAATCAAACAGTACACCGGAAACTGCATAAAGAGAGTTACCAGAATCGTCTTAATCTGGATAAGGAGCCTTCCCCAACTTCCGGGGGGTCTTGGGCTCTCTGTGATAGGGTTGCTTGGGCCTACGGTGACTGGCTGAGAGTTTAAGGCTTCCTGGGTATAGGACGTTGGGCAATATACTATACTTCATGTTACCATCACATGCGAGACGTGATGCGCGCGCATGTATACTCGCAGATGTATTTGTAAAAAAATATGTGCACGTAAAGCTATGTGTGTGTGTGTGCGCATGTGTTTTTATAATGTTTGTGTGAGTGAGTGCGTGCAAGTATGCGTGTGTGTGTGTGTGTGCGTGCTGCATGCATGTATGCGTGTGTATCTATGTATGGTGGTATATGCATGCATGTCTGTACACTGCACATGCGGACGGATGGATAAATGGATGGACGGATTCGGATGGACCTATGTGTATGTATGTATGTATGTATGTATGTATGTATGTATGTATGCGAGTATGTAAGTATGTAAGCATGCACGAATGTATTTATGCAAGTATGCAAGTATGCAAGCATGTACGTATGTATGTATGTATGTATGTATGTATGCATGTATGTATGTGCATGTATATATATATATATATATATATTACATGTGTATGCATGCATGCATGCATGCATGCATGCATGCATGCGTGTTTCTGTATATGCGTGTTTATATGAATGTGCGAAAAATGCTTCGGTAACACTCAAAAAACCGGCCTTGTCATCTTGTAAGGCTGGCCTGCAATGGCTCCTGGGCTCTTGATTTAAGTAATCATACTATCGCGGTCATCTATCTTATCTAGCGGTAACCTACACTACGAAGACGGCATTGCATGATGATCAGAATTGGTTTCCCTGCTTCTTGTATCTTACCCTTAGCATCAAAATAGCCCAAAAGCCTCTTATAATAGGGTCTTTGGGCCCAAAAACCTTAAAATAGGAGTCCTTTGAGGGTAAAGGTTTGGGCCCAAAAGCCAAAAAAAATATAAGTCCTTTGACGATAAGGGTTACCAAAGCTGAGTTCCCAAAACAGAACCCAGGCGCAGAAGACCCGTCGCCACGACCAAAGCCTTGAGAATGAAGTCCCGGTCCGTCTGCAACCTCTCCGATTTCAGGCTTTACTTGAAATTTAGGGTTCAGGTTTTAGGGTTTAGGGTTTAGGGTTTTTGAGCGTGAATTTCGGGCATCATTCCACTGAAGGTGAGCCCCAAAAAGTTGGAACGTGGATTTGATTGAGGGGATTAGTGCTAGTTCCCTATCCCCTTACCGTGAGGGCATGAGGATAATAGTCAAACTTGCTGGCTTCTATGCGGTAAGGCTGCAGATGAGACAAAGGGCAGTTTCGGGTACTTCTAACCGTACTTCTTGCCGCCTATGAAACTGCAAAGATCTGTACAGTGAAGCGGCATCATTCCTTACGAAGCCGTTCATTGTTGAGGGCTGGAGGTCTGCTTTTTGATCTGAACTAGCGCAGATGTCTGGTATCTTTGACTTCGGTATTTGAAAATATTGATTGTGGTTCTGGAGCAGGACATGTGTTGAGGGCCGTATATTCGGCTTGATTAAAATTGGGGTGCCGCTGAGCTACGATTTGTCATCGGAGAAAACTAACCTATCTACCTGCGAAGGGAACCGCAGACATGCGGAGCAGCTCTATGCACACCTCTGGCTCGTCTAAACTAAACCCATGACGACTCAGAGTCCACCCCCAAAACCTCAACCTGGAAGCCGGGCCGTGAACACTTGAGCTGTGTAGCCGTTCAGAGGCCCAAGACAGGGCCGCGCAGGCACCTCACAGGGGAGAGAAATCCCTGTAGCAATGTACCCGCATCCCTCAACCCAACAGCGTAACCCTCAACCCTAAACCCTTTGGCCCTGAACCCTAAACCCTAAAATTGCATGCGTGCATGTTTGTCTGGCGGGCTGTCGGTTGATCTTCTGTCGGTCTGTCTCTGTCTGTGTTTGCGATGTGTCCCATGGTATGCGACTTATAAGTCAACCGTAAACATAACTATGTATGTATGTATGTATGTATGTACGTATGTATGTATGTATGTACATGATTGTGTGTATATATATGTGTATATATATATATATGCACGTATTTGTATGTATACATATATATATATATACATATGTATATATATATATATATATTATGTATATGTATTTCTATGTGTATGTATATATATATATATGTAAACCTATGCACATGCATACGCCCGTCCATAGGCAAGTAGGTAGAGTTAGGTAGGAAGGCAGGTAAGTAGGGAATATTTACGAATGAATGAACGAATAGACCGATGAACGAACGAACAAAGGAGGGAGTATCTGAATGCGTGCTGCATGTATGCTGATGGTTCAAGCACAAACATACATACACACCTATAACACCCTGTATGTTAACCCCTATAAAATGCCTGGCAATTTCGACCCTGAACCCTAAACCCTACACGCCTAAACCCCACGAAGCCTAAACCCTAAACCCTAAACTCCAAACCCGAAACCATCTCACCCCTAAACCCCAAACTCCTAAACCCTGTGAAGCCACCCATAGGCCCCATAGTAGTTCCTTTTTGGGATTGCTTTATAGGGTTCTAAATATGAACCCCAAAAAGGAACTACTATGGGGGCTATGGGCAAACTCCCAGCCTGCCGAGATGGCTGCCAGGACGACTGCGCCGTCGTCCCGCAAGGAGTCGTCCAAATGCTCGTAGGCAAAGCCTATAGGGTTTAGGGTTTTATGACTTAGGATTTAGGTTTTAGGAAAGTTTAGGGTTTAGGGGTTTTATGAATTAGGATTTAGGTTTTAGGAAAGTTTAGGGTTTAGGGGTTTTATGACTTAGGATTTAAGTTTTAGGAAAGTTTAGGGTTTAGGGGTTTTATGAATAAGGGTTTAGGTTTTGGGAGGGTTTAGGGTTTAGGGGGTTTTAGGAATTAGAATTCAGGTTTTAGGAAAGTTTAGGGTTTAGGGGTTAAGGGTTCTGTAGAGTTTAGAAGGCTTTCTCTTTGGAGTCTTGAGAGGGTTCAAGGTGTAGGGATGTGTAGGGGTTTTGAGGCTCTAGCGGTTTAGGGGTTTGCACCGGGATTTGTAGGGCATAAGGATTGGGTGTCTACAGGGTTCCTAGGTGTTTCTCCTTTGAAGGGCTTTACAGGGGGTTTGTGTATCGGACCTGTTCTGTCATGTTCTGAATACGCTGAAGCGGAACAAGGTCTTTCTGTTCCACCATGACACGACGAAGTAGTCGTTCGCGTACGAAAAATGGCCACGTAGAACATTTCCAAGAAACCAGACATGTGGTAAACCTGTTGCACTATCTCCTTGACGATTAGGCGGCGCAGTTCTAGCTGCGCAAGTTGGACTTCTCAGACGTTGAATCCCTTTGGCAGTCAACCTCCTTTGGGGCTCCTGGCCAGGATCCAAAAAGGGAGCTCCTGTGCATCCTCTTCCCCTGCTGCCACAAAGCCAGTAATGTACATGAGACTGCGATTGCTGGAGTGAAGCTCGAGGTTTAGTCATCCTAAACCCCAAAGCCTTCGACTGATCGGGCTTACGATACGCAAGGCTCCTTATGAAGAGCTTCCTATATAGGCCCTTTTTCTTTCGGGATTTGGGTTCCGGTTTCAGGGTACGGGGCTCCTTATGTATGAAGATTTCCCTATGTAGGTCCTTTGTTTTAGGACTTAGGGTTTAGGGCAAAACAAAGTATTTTTTGGGGTGGTTCAGGTCAGACAGGGTTGGAAGGACTGACTGCTCGGTTGTAGTGAGGTATTGTAAAAAGTAGATGTCCTACAGCTCAAAAGTTCCTAAGTTGAAGAAGGTGGGGCGTTCATGATGAGGGCAGGGCTTTGGGAAGGGGGAACGTAAATCTTGAACCTTATATAAACTCTAAACCCCAAACCCCAAACCCTAAACCATAAACCCTAAAACCCTAAAACCCCAAACCCTAAACCCCAAACCCTAAACCCCAATCCCTAACACACACACCGATCTTGGAAGGCAACCCTAAATCCTAAACCCTAAAACCCTAAACCCTATAAGCCCTAAAACCCTAAACCCTAAAACCCAAGGCAGCTCTTCCTCTCGGCTCTCATACGAAAAAAACCTGGCAACGCTCACGACGGACTCGAAGCCCTGGGGATGAACTTGGGTTTAGGGTTTAGGGTTTAGGGTTTAGGGTTTAGGGTTTGGGGTGTTTAGCGTAAAGCGCTACATAGGGACTATAATGACTATATGGCATATACCCTAAACCCTATAAACTCTAAACTTTAAACCCTCTCTATATATGATATATACCCTAAACCCTATAAACTCTAAACCCTCTCTCTCTCTCTATATATATATATACATGTACATACTGAATATATATATATATATATACACATACATATGCATATACATAAGGGGACATTCCTGCGGTTGTTCCATATGATGGTACACTGGACCGGTCTGGGGCCTCGCTGAGACAATTCGGGGAGAGTAGGGGTACGGATGCTCCTTTTAGGGCTTTGGGTTTAAAGGGTTTAGGGTTCAGGGTTTAGGGCTTAGGGTTTGGGGCTTAGGGTTTGTATTTCTTTACTAAGACCCTCAAACCCTGACAACAACAGTTTAGGGTTCAGGGTATCCGATGAAGCTGATACCCAAAACCCTATGTAAGCCCCAGCAAGAGCCAAGCGGCCGTTTTGAGAAACTGCGGCCAGCGCGGTGGGCGCATCTTCTCGCAGGCGACGAGAGAGATGCTGGACAAGAAGGCCATCCTATTGGGGTTTAGGGTTTATATGGGTGGTTGTCAAAAAATTAGGGTCCCTTTTTGGGGTCCTTATAATAATACGGCACCTAATATTTAGGGTACCCAACAAGGGACCATAATTTTGACAACTACCCATATGCTTTAGGCGTCGGCTCAGGGTTAAGGGCGACGAGATTGAAGATCTTGGGCTTTGGAGCTTAAGGTTTAGGCTTGAGGATCAAGGGTTTCGGGGTTGAAGGTTTAGGGCTTTTAGGATTTAGGCTCTAGGATTGAGGGCTTATAAGGTTTTGCGGGTTCAGGCTTGGGGCCTTCGGGACAGATCTTGCAGGTGATGAGGCCTTTTAGGGCGCTTGAGGTTTAGGGTTTACCTTAAGAACCCACAACCCACTTTTTTTGTAGGTTCTTATTATAAACCCTAATATGGGATTTATAGGGACCCTACAAAAAAAAAGGTTTTGGGTTCTTAAGGTAGGGTTTAGGACAGCTTAGGAGCTGTTTGCGTTCGGGCTTTGAACTCACCCTCCCTGAACGACATGCGGCATCCTGAGGTCCCCCCCCAAAAAAAACATGGCAGCCGAGCCCAAAACATTGCATCAGGGCGTCCGGGTTTAGGGTTCAGTGTTTAGGGCTTTAGGGTCTTAGGGCTTAGGGTTTAGGGCTTAGGACAGACTTGAGATTCAGGGCTTGTGCGCCAGTGCGGTCGGTACCTCAAAAGGCCAACGCTCTGCTTCTGCTGCCGTTACGTACTGCTCCTCGCAGTATCAACATAAATATGCTGAATATTGGGACCTGCAGAACTATATATAGAGCAGTGTCGCTACTATGCTTCTTACTGGTATCATAATCACAAAGCATAAAACCTTAAGCCCTAACCCTAAACATCATAACAACACCCTTCGCAGGGGCCATGGTGCAGGTCCTGGGCTACGGCAGCCCTGGCGATGTCGTCGTCGTCTCGCAGGCGGGCCGATGCGTAGGTCAGTGACGAGGGCTGAGCGGAGATCGCCTCCAGCATCACATCCTTGTCCTTAGCGTTGGGGTGTCAAGGCTCAAGGCTGAACAATTACCTGTACTATTTTTTTGGGGGGGTCCTTATAAAAAATTATAATATGATGGGTCCCCAAACCCATTTCTAATTATTAGGGCCCCTACATGAATCCAGGCTTTAGGGTTGAGTTGCTTTGTGTTGGATTGGGGGCCTTAAGCAGCTGAGGTTCAGGCGGTAGGCAGTTTCAGATTCAGAAATTCTTCATTAAACAAGCCATCCAACATATACATCTCATCTACCCCGAAACGCAGGGTTTTTTAGGCCTCAACTCCGGAACCACACCCTGTAGCCCACACAACAGCTCCTGTTTACAATTCTCGTTTATATATTTGTATATGACCTTAAGCAACTTAGGCCTCTTTAGGCTACAGGCAACAAGTCACCCAAACTCGTCTCACCAAGATGGACCCCTAAGCCCTAAACCCCTAAGGTGGACCCAGCGTCGTCCAGAAACTCTTGCGCAAGATCTTCGGCCTGAGAGCAGGTTTGAAGTTTAGGGTTGGTTTCATGCGGTCTCTAAGCTTCACCTGACCCCGAAAACCCGTACTTGTTCAAGGACTTACAGAAGGAAGTCGAATCAATAAGGGTGCCGTACTATTTCGGGGATCCAAAAAAGGGACCCGAATTTCGAGAACTACCCCTGGGCATCTAGTGCGGTTTAGGTCATTCCGGGCTAAGGGTTGATGGACAGATATGATGTTAGGCTTTAGGGCTCGGTCTAGCACCTGTGACGGTTTAGGGCTTAGGGGTGCGAGAAAGGGAACGTGTTTTGGCTGGGTATTGTATTGTACACTTCTGACTTTGACTCGAGTTGGCCAGAATGTCCAGAACAAAATTGCTCAACCGTGCGTGAATCTAGTGCCCAGCTGCCGAGAAACTACATTCGCTTGGCAGAGTAAACTCACAAACGCAAAACAACAACAACTTATGTATGTGGAGTTTCAGGGATTTCCACTGCCGGTCACTAATTATACCGTTAGTCAGCTGGTACGATCTCTGCGCCGAAAACCGCTCAACTTGGTCGATGCCGGGCACAGCTCCCCAAAACCCCGAAAATGAAACAAAGCCTGACGCCCCAACGCTGTAAAGCCCTAAATGTCCCCAACTTTCAACCCCAAGCCCTAAACCCCGAAACCCTAAAACCCTAAACCCTAAATACCCAACCTAGAACCCTTTTAACCCTGAACCCTAAATCCTAAACCCGAAAATCCCCAACCTAGATAGCCTAGAACCCTTAACCCTGAACCCTAAATCCTAAACCCTAAATCCCTAAAAGCCCTCATGCTCCAGTCGCCCTTTTTGGTCGGGAGGCGATCTTGGGGGACTTGGTGACGGCCTCCAAAACAAAGCCTGGGCTCTACTGTTACGGAACTTGAGAGTTCAAGCTGCCGTAGAAGAAGCTTAGTGTTTAGGGTTTAGGGTTTAGGGTTTAGGGTTTAGGGTAGTAAATAATGGTCTATCCTTATCATGGGAACTTCAGTTGCTATATGATACAATCTAATATAGTACATCTGCAACATACTATAATATAGCATGACCTATTGGATTATAGTATCAAACCGAATAATATAAACAATCTTAACTATAGTCTTATAAAATAGTATATGACCTGTTATAATAGCAGATACTCTGCAGCATAAATTACTATATCATTCCCTAAAGCCTAAACCCTGAAACAAGAGCCCAGAAGCCCTTGTCATGTCGGAGGCGATCCGACACTTCTGAGAAGTGGCCGCTCCTGGGAGACTCCGTGAGCAGGGTGCCGGGCTTAAGACTCAGGGTTTAGGGTTTAAGACTTTGGGTTTAGGGTTTAGGCTGTTGGATTTGGGATTTAGGATTTAAGGATTTAGGATGTTGGGTTTAGGATTTTGGGTTAAGTTTAGGGAAGGCTGTCGACGTTGTACCCATGGCAGCAGCAGTGGCAGTGGCGGCAGCATAAACAGTAGTCGTCGTCGCGTCGTGGTGGTGGTGGTCGTAGTCTTAGCAGCATGTAGCAGCTCTAGCAATGGAGCCGGCACGGATGGTTCAGGACTTCTTTTGTGGATTTGGGGTCGGACTTCGGTCGGAATACATGTTCGGCTTAGGGCAGCAGCCAAGTCTCTGGATACCCAGCAACGCAACCTCCCAGTCGTCTCGGAGGCACTCCGCGACCATTTCGTCAAAGCATCGTTCATCTTCAGCTGTAGCCAAAGCTGCCAAGACCACCTCCTTGTCCTCACAGGGCTTCGGGCTTCGTCTCCGTGTTGGGGTAGATGCCGTATGAGGGAAGGCAGGCTCAGTGGGGCAGGTTGTTGAGACTCACGCCGCGCATGCTCAGGAGCATTGTTGTTGTTGTTGTTGCTGCTGNNGTTGTTGCTGCTGCTGCTGCTGTTGTAGTCGGTTGTTGCTGCTGTGGTTGCCGGTCTTGCTGTCGTTGGCAGTCTTGGGGCATTGCTGGGATGCGGAGTGGGTCGGCAGGTGGTAAGTGGGTTGGTGGCTTGGTGGGCAGGTAGGCAAGTGGCAGCTAGGTGGTAGGTAGGTTGGTAGGTAGGTAG